TATGATCATTTCCTGATAACGTTGAAGCAATAGCCCCGCCTCTCCCCACCTCTCCTGCTCAGAGATCAGCTGATGGGCTGTCAGAAGAGGGGGAGGAAAAGAGAGGCTCCGTTTTTTATTATTATATAGAGTTGATATCAATTTGTTTTAAAGCTCAATAAATAACAAAGAAGACCTCTGACCGGCACTTTTCTAATTTTGTCCGGAAGATTTCAACTTTAACGGACATGTTGACCGGCGAAAAAAAAACGAACTGAAACTCTGCCGCGCGGTCCCCTCGTCCCTTGGAAGAGGCGGAGAGGTGTGTGTTTTTCATCTGCTGGTGGACTACTGGAGAGATTTACTGCAGGAGCAAACGCTTGCCTCGGGGAGGGAGAAAAAGAGCCAGAGCGTCCACAGCGGAGAATAAACAGAAGGGCAACCATGGCAACCATGCACGGGAAATCTTCTTCACTGCTTTTGTGGCAGGACTACAGCGCCACTTACAGGCCCGAAATGATATGTACTACAGCGTCTCCAGCACTTTCGAGCGGTCTCGTGTGAACGGACACGTTTCTGGTGCCCGTTGCGTGTGGACGGAAGACTTTTTTGATAACGATTTCGGTCCGTTAGCGTTATGGTCCTCGTGTGGCTCCAGCCTTAAAGCCCGAGCAGCTGACCCTCAGGGACTTTCATTAACATCAGCCGGTAATTGCTGGAGAGCGAGGGGCTGCAAAGAGCTGGAAGGTTTGGGACTTTCCATTTAAGGTTTTCACTTCCTTAGAGGCCGAAGCAATTTAGGAGTTGGTCCCTTATATGACCAGGCTTACGGAGCGGAAGAGAGGTGATTGTCAACTCGGTTTTGTTAAAACTATACAATAAATGGTTGATGCATACGTTACATGTGTTTATGTAGTGAAATATACTAAGATGAGCACACCAAATGTCTGCTAAGGGAGCCCTTATGCACTGTAACAGATGAACCATACACACAGGCATATCAAGCTGGAATACACCACAAACTCTGCAAGTGTAGGATTTGGGATTGCACCAATGACTTATTAGCATGCTACATGTTCTCTCAGAACATTTTCAAAAAGGATTGGAAGAGACGTTCCAACAGGTGGGGACATGTTTACCAAACTTGGCCAAATGCAGTAGTTTGAAACAGCCATGTGCATCCACACTGTAACCACATATCCCCCCTTTAAATCGAAAAACATCACTAAAAATGTTCAGTAAATACGTTCCGATTTCCTTTTTTTCTAGTGTTTAAGTGGAGGTGAGCAAACTGCCCTCTGCCCCAGCTTCATATAAAAGTGTCTATTCTTTTCTTAAAATGGTAAATAATGGTAAGTACTATCATAAATAACTGCCGTCAGGTTTATTTAAGTAGAACCTTTTCTAGTGTGTTCTTGTGGAAATAAATATTTAAACATATTTCATAATGGCCCCACATATATTGACCCACAAGCTCTTTGCTAAATGTCATCGTTGTCTCCTCTCTTTTATACTTTCCACTCCGTCTGTGTGCCTTATTTGAAAAAAGGCGAAAAATAATGTTCTTTGAAAACCTTTGATTTGCCCCCCCCCCTCACCTATGTACTGGACCAGCTCCAGACTGTACATCAGCTCCAGCAGGTGATCAGCATGGTTACCAACAACCATCTTCTTCAGCTCCGTCCAAATCCGTTCTCCAGATATCGCTGCAAGGCCACGACTGTTTTCCCGGATGGCGACCAGCGTCTTCGGGTCGTGGCGGTCGGGCTCCGGAGC